CACAAGCCATTCGGCAAAATATTTAATGAAGAGGGAATTCAGACAACTTCGTCTATGTCTTTTACATTCCTAGCACTAGAACACTTGGTCTACACTGACTTACCTCTATACTTTAACTCAAAGCTTCAACATGCGTACTTTGGCACAAAGGAAGTGAAACTAAGTGTTACAACCAACATGGTTCACATATCCGAAGTATGGATTCCTTCATGCATAGCAAAACATTCATAAGCATCACTCATGTTAATCAACATAAATATCATACATTTCAACACATTCATACATAACGGCACTTCCTATAATGTGCCTTGGCACCTTGCCCTTATTCTCACCAACCAGGTGATGAAGGAACTCACATTCGTATCACCAACTAGGTGATGAAAGGTACAACCTATACTCTAATATCATTAGGTAACTTCCCACTCTTATCACCAACTAGATGATGAAGGAACTCACATTCGTATCACCAACTAGGTGATGAAGAGTACAACTAATACTATTAATAATCATTTTTGTCTCGGCAACTCACCATTCTTCCCACCAACAAGGTGAGGAGGGTACAACTTGTACATTTGAAATCTTAGCATTCACAAATAATCAAAAACCCTCAAGACTTACAACTCAAAAGGGGGATAAGCAAGCTTAACTCAACCCAATTGGGGGAGCACTTTTGCCCAACAAGGGTTATAGTCATCAACAAAGTCTTATTACAAGCCAACAAAGGCTTCAGTGCATGGTATGCAAAGATCAAGCTCTTCAACCCTCTTGCATTTGCTCCAGACATTTCCCCTCTGTAACAATGCAAATACTACAACTCATAGAAAGCTTCTCTTGATCAAGACTGTGCGAAGCAAAATCAATCTATATGGTTTCTCCGAACCTTCAACTACTACAATATGTGGTTTGTCTCGCACACTCTTGCTCAAAAGTGTGGAAGCAAAATCTATATATATGGTCTCTCCCACATTTTCTTGTTCTAGTTTTTTTTAAGGCCAAAAAAAGGCCAAAAAAATTCTGCCAAAAAAATATTTTAAATTTCTAAAATTAATTAATTAATAATTATTTTGAAATAATGATTAATTATTTAATTAAGCAATTAATTAATTGTTAATTATGACATGTGGAAAGGCCAACAAAGCTTCAACACATATGAGGCAACTACAAATGTCAAAAGCTTCACACACTCTTAATCTAGATAGTGTGAAGCAAAATCAAATTATGGTGCCCTAGGAATAGCTTCAACTATTCAAGCCATGTGCCTAAGCAAAAAGCTTCACCTATAAAGCCTCAACCAAAAAGCTTCACATACAAAACCTCAACAAAAAAGCTTCACCTACAAAGCTTCAACCAAAAAGCTTCACCTACAAAGCTTCAAGCATAAAGTTTCACCTACGAAGTTTCAACCAAAAAGTTTCACCTACAAGGCTTCAACCAAAAAGCTTCACCTACAAGACTTCAACCAAAAAACAAAGCTTCAAAAAAAAGCTTCACCTACAAAGCCTTAACAAAAAATCTTCATCTACAAAGCCTCAACCAAAAAGCTTCACGTGCAAAGCTTCAATTAAAAAGCTTTACGTACAAAGCTTCAACCAAAAAGCTCACCCACAAAACTTAAACCAAAAAGCTTCACACACAAAGCTTAAACCAAAAATCTTCACCTACAAAGCTTCAACCAAAAAGCTTCAACACTACAACATGTAAAAAACTTCACACACTCTTGATCAAGGTAGTGTGAAGCAAAATCAAGTTATGGTGTCCTACAACTAGCTTCAACCACTCAAGCTATGTGCCCAAAGAAAAAGCTTCAACCAAAAAACAAAGCTTCAATAAAAAAACTTCACCGACAAAGCCTCAACCAAAAATCTTCATCTACAAAGCCTCAACCAAAAATTTTCACGTACAAAGCTTCAATTAAAAAGCTTCACGTACAAAGCTTCAACCAAAAAGCTCACCCACAAAACTTAAACCAAAAGCTTCACACACAAAGTTAAAACCAAAAAGCTTCACCCACAAAGCTTAAACCAAAAAGCTTCACCTACAAAGCTTCACCTACAAAGTTTCAACTAAAAATCTTCACCTAAAAATCTTCACCTACAAAGCTTCAACCAAAAAGCTTCAACACTACAACATGTAAAAAGCTTTACACACTTTTGATCAAGTTAGTGTGAAGCAAAATCAATTTATGGGGTCCTATGACTAGCTTCAACCATTCAAGTTATGTGCCCAAAGGAAAAAGTTTCAACCATTCAAGCTAGGTAAGGAAAAGGCTTCAACCACATTTTTTTTTTCTCACAAAAAAAGAAAAAGAAAGAAGGAATTGGGCTTAAGAAAAAATATAGGGTAAATTACATAAAACTACCTCAACTATGGGTCATATCACAGTGACATACCTCATGTTTTAAACATTGCAATGTTATACCTCAACTTATGAATTCATTGCAATGTTCAACCTCTGTTAATTTTTCTGTCAATTTGACTATTAAATGCTGACGTGGCAGGAATTGGGTCCACTTCTTCCCCAAGTGAAATAAAAAAATTAATTAATTATTAATAAATTACTAATTTTTATTTAAAAGTTAAAATTAATTAAAAAATGGGTAAATTACATAATAGCCCCTCAGGTTTGAGGTCTATTACAACCTCATACAACAACTTTAAAACATTTCACTTTCATACATCAAGTACCATTTTATTTCAAAATAACACCTCCGTTAGATTTTTCATCCATTAGTCTATTAAATGCTGACGTGGCTGCCACATTTGTGCTGATGTGGCTGCCACGTGGTAAAAAAAATTTTTTTTTTTATTAATTAAAAATTTTATAATATAACCCTATTAAAAAAATAAAAATAAATAAAAAAAAGCCCTCAACCTTCTTCTTCCCCGTTCCCATATTCCCCCAACCTATACCCCGCCGAAACCCATCTCCTTCATCTTCCCAATCCGTCCTCCCTCCCTGTAGCCCAAATCCAAAACCACTCCCACCCATCCTCCACCTCCTTCGCGCACCCATCTTCCCATCTCCCCCACCCCCATCCGAGCCCAACCTGCAACCCAGAAAGAAAAAAGAGAGAAAAAAAGCCCCATATCTTCATCTTCCCTGCAACGCACCCTTTTCTCCTCCTTCTCGTCTTCCCCAAACCCACCGTGCACCCATCCTCCACCTCCTCCTCTGCACCCAGTATCTGCAACCCAGAAAAGAAAAGGTGAAAAAAAACCCATCTCGTCGGGGAGGGGGATTTAACGGGAGTGGGTCGTCGGGGGGGGGGGGGGGGAGGGTGGGATTTGACGGGAGTGGGTCGTCGGGGGAAGGGGGATTTAACGGGAGTGGGTCGTTGGGGGGAGGGGTGGGATTTGACGGGAGTGGGTCGTCGGGGGAAGGGGGATTTAACGGGAGTGGGTCGTCGAGGAGGGGGGTGGGATTTGACGGGAGTGAGTCGTCGGGGGAAGGGGGATTTGACGAGAATGGTTCGTTGGGGGGTGGGGGGGAGGAGGAGGTTGTTGCGCTGGGTTTCTGGGGGATTAATGGGGAAGTGGGTTTGGGATTAATTGGTTTCTGGTTTTGGGGGTTGCGGGTAAAGCTTTCAGGTTTTTTTTTTTTATTATTATATATATTTAGAAGATTAGATTTTTTTTAAAAAAAATTAAAAAATTATTATTTTTTGCCACGTGGCAGCCTCATCAGCACAAATGTGGCAGCCACATCAGCATTTAATAGACTAATGGATGGAAAATCTAACGGAGGTGTTATTTTGAAATAAAATGGTACTGGATGTATGAAAGTGAAATGCTTTAAAGTTGTTGTATGGGGTTGTAATAGATCTCAAACCTGAGAGGTTACTATGTAATTTACCCTAAAAAAAAACTGTTGTTGCGAAAATTAGATAACCAAAATTAAACTCATTAAGTCTCGAATTTTTGTGCTTGCAAGTATACAAATCAAATGATAGTATAGCATATAAGCACGAATATCATCCCACAGAGATCGAATTGATTCTAAAATCTTACTAACTAAATTGAAACAAATTTAATTGAGAAGCTTTAACGAAAAAGAGATACGATTTGAATTAAACTAAAAATGAAACATGACTTTAAAAATAAAATACATGAAATTATAAAATTATAAATATAAGAAAATAAAACTTAGGGCATCCAAATTCACCGTAACCAATCATACTTAATTCCCTTAATATGTTATGCTCAAGTAGTTCCCCAATATTGATGATTGATTTTCCCTAAATTATTCGACGGCCATGGCATTTGGTTACATCAAAAGTATCCTTACATGTTAACCCTCTATGGCATCTAGATGGATTTAAACAAGTAAGAACCCATTAAGCTTTATGGAAATCGTTGGAAAATCACACAAACCCTAATTGTATGGCATTTACAAATAGGTGGTTATGATATCAATTGCCAGAAGCTAAACCCAAGTTAAGTATGACATCTACTCTAACATGCATCAAATCAACTTAATTAAAACCTAGATGGTGATCAAGCATCTAAATAAAAATCAAGCGCATCACGCATAGCAAAAGATACTCAATATGAAATAAAAACTTGATAATAACAATGCCACAAGGCAATTAAGCATTCATGATTAGGCTACATCGTAGCCCTAGCAAAGAAAAACTCCAAAGTAGCTCTTCCTCTTGGTCTTCCTTGCCGTAGCCCCCTATGTAGAATAAATGATTTTTGGTTTTGTTTTTGTGGTTGACCCCCCATATCATAAGAAGAAGGATCTCATTATATAAAACAAACAGCAAACAAGTGCTTAAAGGCAATTAAAAGCATACTAATTACTAACCCTAATGGACTTTATGTCCTTATTTAAGAAATAAAAAATAAACGGAAATAATAAAACTAATTATTAAGTTCTCTCCTAGATTCCATTGAATAGCATTCTCATCTCTATTTGATTCTAAAACTGTTGCAATCTCATCTTCTTGTTGTAACGCATATGCCTTGGTGCAGTTAATTAGCGTATTGCTGTACTGGAATTACTCTAGACACCCGAAAAGCTCATTTTTCACTCTTTTTCATGTAACTTCCGTATTGAATGCCTATAAATTAAAACAATATAAATTAGTGCATTTAACCCATTCATATATACAAAATCCAAAGGAAATATATGAAAATATGCATCCATTAACTGTTTCCTCCTTTCTCTTAAACACAGCAAAATCAACAGAAAATCCCCGTTTGTTTGGTCTTAGTCGACACGCCGACGCTAGCTTCAGTTTTCCAAACGCGCTGCATATCCCGTAGTCGGAGACTTTCTAGGAATATGGGTCCATAGCTTGTGGCTAAACCTTGATCGTCTGATAGCTTCTTTCTCCGATCGATCTGCTCCGCTCCATGGTGGGTCTTGTTGAGTTGGATTTCGCACTGCCCCAAGCTTGCTGAGCTGCCTCCGCCTACTTCTCTGCCTCACCTTGGTTCAACGCCTATTGTAGAAACTTGTCGTCACAAATCAACCCAGACGAGCCCTGCCTCCTAAACGTTCTTTCAGACCTCTGAAGCCCCTTAACCATCAGATTGATCTCTAACATTTTCTTATATATATCTCAATCTACGATCTGGGTTTTGTTTATGGGGTCTAGAGGGTCGACTTTTGTGGATTTGGCTGTGTTTAAGGATGAAGAGGAAGAATGGGTTTTTGTCGTCCCTCTGTTTCCTCAGCTCTCATTGACGAGCCTTAAAATATGCTCACCAAAGACTTTATGGCGTAGATCTGCATTGGGTTAATAACAAGGCATTCTTCGGCGACATGGAGGAAAAAGAAGAATGACGAAAGCTTTTGCCTTCCCTTCGAATTCTTGGTCTTCTTGTTCTTCGCTAAAATCTTCCCCATCTGAACAACCTTCAATTGGGTCTTCAAATTTCGATTCAATCTTCAGTGGGCCCTCTTTGAGTTCACCTTTTTTGAAAAACCCATTTGAAAAAAGAAAAGGAAGGAGATTTTTTTTAATAAATTTATTGTAAAAAAAAAAGTTTTTTATTAATTAATTATTTTTTTATTTCAATTGGTGAAGAAGTGGGCCCCACACCTGCCATATCATCATTTAATAGTCAAATTGACAGAAACGTTAACGGATGTCTAACATTGCAATGAATTCATAAGTTGAGATATGACATTGCAATGTTTAAAACATGAGGTATAAGATTGTGGTTCGACCCATAGTTGAGGTAGTTTTATGTAATTTATCCAAAAATATATATATATATACTTGGGTTACTTCCAAAAAAAAAAAAAAAAAAAAATTAGAGGGAGAATTTTTGAAGTTTTTTTTCTTCAAAGACTCAAGAATATCAAGCCACCTCTTTCAGCTATCCTTTTAGCTTTGAAACTTGGGGGACTCCCACTATATGCTACTACACTTCGATACTAAGAAATTTCGTGCTTACTTAGTGACTTGGATTTTTCAAGTCCCCAACCGAGAAGCTTTCCTCATTTGGGAACTTAGGGGAATAGTGTTTGTATCATACTTGACCAATCCCGAAACTACCAAGCACCGGTCAACTTCATACCTTCAAGGACCCACTAAGGGATTCATGTTGAGGCACCCCTCCGAAGCACAAGAGTTTCCCTCCACCCAAGAGGCCAATCACATCATGACATGTGTCAATGTCAAAATAAAGCTCCTAGAGTCCTGCATCGACCGCGGATGAAAGCCGGAGACTCTCCTCAACTATAAAAGAAGATCATTCTCCTACAATTAAGGACGAATGTCATTATTGTACTTAAACAAGTCTTTAGAATCCACTAATGATTATTATGTTTGAACCTATGTATTTGTGTAAATCCTGCACTATTAATGAGAACTCTTCTACTTTGTGGACGTAGCCAAACTTAGGGTGAATCACATACATCTTGTGATTGCTTCCTCATCTCTATCTCTTTACATATTATCATCACTAGGTGACCGAAGCAACCGAGTGAAGGTCACAAACTTGACACTTTACGTTGTTTTAAAGTCTCACTGATTTTGTGCATCAACATATATCAATATTATGTTCTGGATACAGGGTAAAGTAATGGACATAGTTTTTGGCACCCCATTGTGAAACAAGATATCACTTCCAATAGTAGGTTGGAAACCATCGACTTGAAAGCTAAAATGAGTTATATAATTTACGTCATTCAAGGGCAATGAATGTTATTGATGGATTGTTAAAAAAAAACATAGCATAGTACCCACACCTTCCTTTTTCGACATTAAAATAAGTTAAGATTATAAATGCATTTTGTGTGTTGCATAATTTTATAGAACCGAGCAAGCTTCTGATCTAGTTTTAGAAGCTCACGATTTTACAACTTTTAGCATTTGTGGACTCAAAGCTGTTAAATCGGTAAAAAGGTACAGAATAAAATAATTTTGATGATGGGATTACATCTGTTTAAGCTACTATTGAATGGGACGACTTTTGTTATACATTGGCATTGCAAATGTTCCAGAATTTTCAAGGTCAACGAGCTACCAATGATTCCTAATGGAAAATCTGGTTGCCTTTAGCTTGTATTGTCATAATTGTTGAAATCAAAATTGCCACAGTCACGGATGGAGGCGTAATTGATAAACCTTGATCCAAATAGCCATCAAACTAAGAGTAAAGATGTGCTGATCATCACCAAATTGATAATGTAACATCACCAAAATAATGACGAAACATCACCAATATGATGACGAAACCATAGGTAATAAATATGTGAATAAATTTGAACTAAAAAACTCATTACTATTAAGTACTAAAATTATCCTGCAAGTCACTACAACAAGCTCCCAACTTGGGGACACATTAGGTTTCAATAACCCCATTATTATCACATCAGTTTAGAGCATAACACTAGTGCATACATCAGTAATAACAAAATATGTGTTGTGCTAAGCATAATTGAAAGTATGATCATGCATTATTACAACTAGATAAAACATAATGGACGAGGAATCACCCTATCCCATAGGAAGACTGTACTGCTAAGGCCACACGTCATCAGATGCCATCTTGGTCTCGCTAGGTCATGAGGGAGCGAAAAATAAAGTGTGAGTGGATCATAATCATTTCAAACAAACTAACCCCCATTTTGAAAAACCTCATATAATTTAAAACTAAATACTATTATCTACTACAATATATAGTTAAGGAAATCATGTTCAATCAGAAGTCATACCTGAGCAACTCAACAAATAATACTAGCATTTACCAGTATGAGTGCAACACGCAAGTGTGTACGTTGCCAGTGACCACGGGCTGGATGAGTATGAACTAAAATGGATAACGGGATATACCTTTCCGTTGGATGATTCCGTTAAAATGAACGAATATGTCGTCTGTTCACTAAAACTGCAGAATTTCCAAAAAATGAGCTTCGTTTAGCTTGATTCTTTCACCAAAAAATCACATGAATAGATCATAAAACTTACCAAAACAAAGGTTTCTGGAAACGAGGAACAGGGGTTTCACAAAGGTCAAAACCTTGATTCGCGACGGTCGAATTATCAAGTTCTAGCTTGAAACTCGCCGGAGAGCTCGGAGCTTGGAGTGCAACTCTTTCCCGTCACCAAAGCACGCGTGCAATATCGCCAGTTGATTCCTCAGACCTCACTGAAGCTAAATTTAATGGTCTAACCGTCATTGTAACGTTCTTCATTTTCATATTTGTTAAACTTGTATTTTAGAATTTCTTGACCACGTAACGGAAATGTACGTACTCACAACATATTAAACGTAACACATTTTGCAATATATAATCAGACATAGTACAAACGATTACAGGTTATCAATAACGAATCTGGATTAAATAAGTGCGAAATTACTGTATTAAGATCTATATTAGGGAGGGAGTGTGAGGACTTTGATCTTGATAAACTTGCCAATGTCTAAGTATCACAAGATCGCTTCTTGCTTTTCCTTTCGAGACAAATTAGAACCGAGACTCAGACATGTAAGGATCTAGGGATCAGTTCATTCTATTCATTCATCAGTCATCCTGAGGTCAAAAATCTTTTTGAATTTTTTTTATTTAAAATTGAATACAAACAGTATCTAACGAAATCGGATCGAACGATGTACGATAAACGGCTAAGATAAATTCATCCCTAAGATTCTAAAAAAGAGAATTAAAAAAAGATCCTAATCCGTTAAGAGGACCATTCGGAAGCTCATGCGCGTTCCATCGAACGAACCACATTGTTGCCCGTCATTCCACCAGTAATTCCACATGTATATTCACCTATGACTACAACCGTCATTTTTATTGATATCTGTGAAAAATATACCAATATACAAGTATCGTAGAGAAAAGCTTTGTAAAGACATAATTTTGAAACAAACAGAAATAATTTTTAATCTTGGTGGAAAAATAAAAAGGAATAATTAGAATCCCCTATATTTTTTAAATATTTAAGACTAAACATATGTTGTTTTATAAAATTTGATTAAAATGTTTTGATCAATTGTCAACTCAACATTTTTATAGTTATACACACACACACACATCTCTCTTAAGCTAGCTAACAACTAATTTCTTGCGATCTAGAAATTTTAAATTCGTGACCTTTTCTATTAAAAAAATAAGTTTAACTAATTCCTCATCATCACTAAAAAATAACTTTTTATTTTTTTTTATTATATTTAATTAGTTCCTCCTTCCTTAAAAAAAAGTCATTGATACTTTAATAAGAAAACTTCAGTAATTTTTTAAATTTTCGTATAGTTATATAAAAAATGTATTTAAAACTTATGCTACATTTGAAAATAAACATACCGATTTTTGGTACGTTTAGATTCTAAATGTATCAGGAAACAAAATGTACAAGAAATCCAAATATATCATAAAATCAAATGCACCCATATTACAAATAAAAAAACTTACCAATATAATCAAACATTGTAGAGAAGAAAACATAGTGCTCTAAATATAATTATGTTGTGTTTCTTTTAATCAAGAAACACATATTACAAATAAAATAAAATAAAATGTACCAGAAATCCAAATGTAGTCAATCTTGATTAAACATTTTTCCTACAATGTAGACTATAGTTGTGTCCTAATGTAGCAAAATCATCTGCTGCTATGTTGGCCTCTCGGAAGAAATGATTTATTGTATAGTTAGGAATTTGATGCACAAATGTCCTTGACGATATATAAAATTTGGCAAGGAACTTGAATATACTTGTTAATTGCATGTATCAAGATCTTGGAATCACCTTCAATGTTAATCAAAATTATATACATGCATGCATGCATCCTCCAAGTTGCGTGATCAATACATGCCCTCCTTTCATTGACAATTTGATTGACACGTAAAGCCACGTCACGATATACTCGAGCCAAGCCAAATCGGTTGTTCTCCAGATACAGAAATGAGCAATTAATGTAACTTAAAGTTTGAAAAATAATAACAAAAGGACTTGTTTAATAGAAAAAACAAATGAAAATTATACAGATAACCAGACAGTTCTTTCATGCCCTATTTTATCAACCAATAAAAAACAAAGTTCTAAAAAACACTAGACACTAATCGAATGGCAGGCTAGGGCTATTTAAGTAAATCTATTATATTTTATATAAATAAGTGTCTACTTATACTTGAATATATATAACTTCATTAAAAACTATTAAATGGAATGACATATATATTCTGAAGTATTGAAACATAATGAAAAACATGGAGAACAAGCATATAATATGTGTTCATTTAAGTATTTAACAAGTCTCTTACAATTTATTGAAAAAAATAAAATGCAAAATTAAAATTATCTATTTTCTATCAAAATGAGTTGCAACTTAAACGGGTGCCTAGGCAAGTTTGGGCGGGCTAGGCGGATGCTTAGGCTGTTTATGCAGGTGCCAGCAAGTCTAGGCG